CCTGGCTACTGCTGGGGACAGGGGTAGAGCAAAATCGCCCTGGCTGAAGACCATGCCTACCATCCTCCTGTCTTAACCATTGTCATCTCTTACCTGAAATATCAGAATATCCTAACTGGTTTCCCACCTCCATTCCAGCTCCCCCTTCTCCATATTGCAACAATCAGAGTGATCTTGTAAAATCATAAACCAAATCTTGTCACTTTTCTGTTTTTAAACCTCTTATGGCTTCCCCATAGCACTGAACATAAAACCCAAGTCCTTATGGCGATATTCAAGCCTTTGCATGATCTAGTCTGTGCTTATTTCCTCTCTCCTCTTATCTTTGCATTCCAGCCAAGCTGATTCCTTGGTGTCCTTTGAACATATCAAGAATAACCCCTCCTTGGAGCATTTGTATTTATTGCTCCCTTTATTCAGGATGCTCTCCCTGAGGATCTGCATGGCCTCTTTCTCACTTCATCCAGGCTGCTGTTTATACTTCCTCAGAGAGGGGCCTCCCTGTGGCGTAAGGGATTAAGATGCAACCTATGAAGCTGTCCGCAGCCACTGCAGCACAAGTTCGATCCCTGGCCAGGGAGCTACCCACATGGTGCAGCAGACCTCTCCTGACTCACCCACTGCTCCCCTCAGCAATGTATTTCAGCAGATCTGCCTGTTCTGGAAGCTTGACAGCAGGGCTGCTCAGCTAACAACTTTTTCCCTCCTGCCCAATCCTCCTTTGGTCTGGAAACAATTTCACAGGCTGATCTCAAACAGGGAAGCTGCCAGCAGTTTTTGAACCAGGTATACAGCTGATGTTTTGACCTGGTAAGCCCAAAAGATAAATTTCAGATTAAGTGGTTATTCTGCAGTTACTGTTCATCTTTTTCTTTTTTCTAAAGATTTATTTATTTATGCATACAAGAACTAGGGTACATGCCAGAGTGTAGAGGGTGAGAGGATTCACCAGAGACAGAGTGGGGAACAGAAAAGGTGGATTGATTGAAATACACTGCTGAGGGGAGCAACGGGCAAGTCAGGAGAGGTCTGCTGCATCATATGCGTTGCTCCCTGGCCAGGGATTGAACTTGTGCTGCAGTGGCTGAGTATAGCTTTATAGGTTGCATCTTAACACCTTGCGCCACCAGAGAGACATACTTTTCATCTTTTTCAAATGCGTTCACTTTACTCAGTAGTTTCTTAGAATGGCCATGAGCTAGGGGTCTCCTTTACCATTCTACTCTTTTTTTAAAAAAGATTTATTTTGGGGGGGCCTCCCTGGTGGCACAAGGGGGTTAAGCACCGCACTATGAAGCAATGGCAGCCTCTGCAGCATGAGTTCGATCACTGGCCAGGGAGCAACCCACATGGCGAAGCAGACCTCTCCTGTCTCGCCCACTACTACCCTCAACACACTGTGTAGCAGTTTGTTTCAGTCGGTCTGCCTGTTCTGTTCCCCACTCTGTCTCTGGTGAGTCCTTTCACCCCCCGCATTTCTGGCCTGTACCCTAGCTCTTGTATGCATAAATAAATAAATCTTTTAAAAAAATTTATTTTGGGGGGCCTCCCTGGTGGTGCAAGGGATTAAGCACAATACTGTGAAGCTATCTGCAGCCTTTTCAGTCAGTCTGCCTGTTCTGTTCCCCACTCTGTCTCTGGTGAATCCTCACCCTCCGTACCTCTAGCCTATACCCCAGTTCTTGTATGCATAAATAAATAAATCTTGAAAAAAAATCTTTTCAACCTCCATCATTTAAAAAAAAAGATTTATTTCATTAGGTTTCCTATTATTCCTACTTAAGGATTACAGTTGGAAATTCATCAGAAGATAATTTAGAAATGTAAGCTGAAATATTAATGGATGATATTGATGGCATTTTGTTATATTTCATTGTCGTTTTCCCATACAGATATTTACATTGATACTTTCACACTTGAGGTCAGTTTGGTATAAGAGAAATATTTTTTAGTTCACTCTTTTTTTTTTTAATAGAGGCATGTATTTATTTATTTATTTATTTGTTTGTTTTATTTATACAAGCACTGGGTACAGTCAGAAGCGCGGGAGGGTGAGAGAATTCACCAGAGCCAGAGTGGGGAGCAGAGCAGGCAGAAGGACCGAAGGACACTGCTGAGGGGAGCAGCGGGCGGCAGGAGAGGTCTGCGCGCCTTGTGGGACCCTCCTCTGGTGGCCGGGGAGCAGCTGGGGATCGAACCGGCTTCGCAGAGGAGGCCGCGGGCAGCTTCGCAACCCAGCGCTCAACCGCTGCGCCACCGGGGAGGCCCCTAGTTCACTCATTTTCTAACAAAGATCTCACATATTTATTACTGAGCCAGTCTACTAGATGCAGAAGCAAAGAGATGGTTTCAGTAAGATGGTGTGACAGGAAGACCCGGGGACCCTGACGCAGCATAAGTCCCTAGCCACCTCACAGGCGTTCTCCTTCTGTAACAGCTGCATCCTCATACAAAAGGGAGGTTCCATGTTCCCTGTCCCACCTAATGAGGGGCAGAGCTGAGCAGTGAGCAGGAGCTGGAAACACAGAGGAGAGACAGGGGAGACACCTGAAGAGAGAGAGAGAGACACATGAAGTCTCCCCCCACCCCCTTCTTCTCGACTTTGGACTTGCACCAGGGACTTGGGAGATCCTTGGAAGGGACACGTGGGTGAGGGACGCTCGGGAGGCTGACAATGGCAGCTGTTATCTTGATATGTACTTTGATTTTTCTCCTTTAGCCCCTGCCTTGCTTGATCCTTTCTGCCCCTTTCCTATGGTTCCCTGCCAGAAGGTGCCTTACATTTGTGGCAAGCTTTTGGCTTCCGTGACCCCACTTTGGGCGCATTTCCATGAGGGAATGGGTAACTTTGGGTGTTTTGTTGGCAATCTATTTTCTTTCTTCTCTCTCTTTTTTTTTTAAGATTTATTTATGCATACAAGAGCTGGGGTACAGGCCAGAGATGCAGGGGGTGAGAGGATTCACCAGAGACAGAGTGAGGAACAGAACAGGCAGACTGACTGAAATAAACTGCTGAGGGGAGCAGTGGGCGAGACAAGAGAGGTCTGCTGCACCGTGTGGGTGGCTCCCTGGCCAGCCGGGGATTGAACTTGTGCTGCAGAGGCTGCAGATTGCTTCATAGTGCGGTGCTTAACCCCTTGCGCCACCAGGGAGGCCCTCTTTCTTCTCTTTCTATGTACACCAATCCTATTAAATTTTTTTTAAAGATTTATTTATTTATTTATGCATACAAGAACTGGGGTGTAGGTGCTGGAATCTACAGCAATAAGCAAGGAGAAAGTGCTGCTGGAATCTAGTGGGCAGGAACAAAGGCCACTGTTCAACACTCTACAATGCACAGGACAACTTCCCCACTTGCCCCAAAACAGATTATCAGACCCCCAAAAGTTAATAGTGCCAAGGTTTAGAAATGCTGCAGAGTGGTACCTTTGTCACAGCACTTCAAAGATAATTGTAGTTGTCAAGGGGTTGGTCTTCTCAGCTAGAAAGGCAGCTCCTTGAAGATAGGTGATGTGTGGATCTTTTTTTGTTTTTTAAAATTTATTTATTTATGCATACAAGAACTGGGGTATAGGCCAGAGGTGTGGGGGCGGTGAGAGGATTCACCAGAGACAGAGTGGGGAACAGAACAGGCAGATCTACTAAAATACACTGCCAAGGGGAGTAGCAGATGAGTCAGGAGAGGTCTGCTGCACCATGTGGGCAGTTCCCTGGCCTGGCAGGGATCAAACTTAGCTTAACAACATGGCACCACCAAGAAGGCCCTTATGTGTGGATCTTGAGTATTTGATATATACTTGACACTTAAGAAGTAAGGTGAAAAGCTACATCCAGATTCAAACTCAGGGTCCTGAGAGGGCATGCTGTTTGTTTTCTTCATTTTCCCTCTCTTTGAGCACTACAATCAGTCAGTTGATAACCCATTGCATGCATTCACTAGTAAATAATTAATAAGCATTTACTATATACTAGAAATGTTTTAGGTACTGGGAATACAGCAATAAGCAAGGCAATGTCTGCTCAAATGAAATGTATTGAAATAGAGGAAGATAATAAGGGAGAACATGATTTCAGACAATGATGATAAATAGAAAGAAAATAAAAGTGAAATGCAGGGGCCTCCCTGGTGGCACAGGGTTTAAAGTCTGAGCACTATCAAGCTATTGCCAGCCACTGTGACATGAGTTCGATCCCTGTCCAGGGAGATAACCCACATGGCGCAATAGGCCTCTCCTGTTTTACCCACTGCTCCCCTCAACAGTGTATTTTAGTAGATCTGCCTGTTACTCGCTCCACTCTGTCTCTGGTGAATCCTCTCACCCCCACCTCCCAACCTCTGACCTACACCCCAGTTCTTGTATGCATAAAAAAGAAAAAGTGTAATGCAGTAGGGAAAGATGGGGTGGAATCCAAAAATTTAGGTAGTGTGAAATGGTGGCATTTGAACTATTGACGATAATAAGCCAATCATTAGAAGATAATGAGACGTTGAGAGGAGGGGACGGGAGGCGCGGGGGATAATGACCCAGGCCTAGACAACTACAATTACATAGACTCCTAGTGGCCCCTCCAGGAGGGCCAAGGGGAGCGTCCTATCATCTACAGGATGGGAATGTTTAACGCGTTTTAACTACAATCAGAAGCCGGAGTTATACTATTAACTGATCACTCTGGCTTCTTAGGGAGAATATATGAAATATCCGTATTCAAAGGTCTAAAATACTTGTCACAAAACATAAAACAAAAATTCTAAAAGCATGGCCACCTTCTCGGCTACTTCTCCTCAAGGGGGAAACCGCCCGTGTCCAGCAGGGGGCGCTCTAGGCGCCAGGTCCACAGACTGAGCGGGGCACTCTGGTTCTTTCAGAGAAGTCGGCCGCTTCCGGGAGCGGCCATGTTGCCCGGCACCTTCCTCTCTAGCCACCCGACTCTATGGCCTCCGGCGGCCGGAGCCCGCCCCTCGGCGGCGGGTCCCGCGCTCTGCGGACGGTGCCCAGAGCCGAGCCGGGCTTGCGGGCTTCGGCGTCCATCGGGCCCGGGTCATGGCGGCCGCAGGGTCCGCGCCCCGGGCTGGCGCCAGGTGAGCAGTGCGGCTGGGAAGGCGGGCCGGGCCTCGGGGCGACCGGCTCGGGGCTGCGTGGGGAAGGGGCGCCCTGCCCTGCCCTGCCCGACCCTCGAGCCCCCGCCGCTCCCGGGACCTCTGAGCGCAGGGGGCGTTTGCGACCCCCGCCCCGACCTTCGCGGGACCCCCGGCCGCCCCTGCCCTCGGGTGTGGGGACCCGGGATCTGGCTCGGTGGCCCCCCGCCAGGACCCCAAGACCCGGGGTGCTCAGAACTGAGGTGATCCTCGTGCTCAGTTCGGGGCGCCGGGTGGGCCAGGGCAAGGCCCCTCGTTGTTTTGTCACCGCCCTGCCCGTGTTCCTCGTTCTCAACCCCATTCCACCGCCTTCCTCAGACCTGCCCTGCCTTATAGCAGATGAATGTGCCTTCGACCCCACCATCGTCAGATTGTCTGTACGTTACCTTGAGAAATGTACAGCGGCTTTGAATTCATATAAATGATAATATGCGTGATTTTTTTATTATTTAAATTTTATTTTTATGTTCCCCATACAATTACAACCCCCTTATTTTCACCCCAAGCCCTCCTTCCCCGCCCCCCAACCCCCATAGAGTGTCTCTGATTCTAGTTATTCTTTTTCCTGGTCCCTTATTTTTCTAGATTCCTTCTATGAATGAGACCATCTGGGATTTTTCTTTTTCTTTCTGGCTTATTTCGCTGAGCAGGATCCCATCCAATATGCTGTGATTTTTTTAAAATAAATTTTTTTTATATTCCCCATACATTTGCAATCCCCTTATTTTGACCCCAATCCCTCCCCTCCCCACCCCCCATAGAGTGTCTCTTGTTCATAGTTGTTTGTTGATTTTGATATTTTCTTTCTTATAGTTATTCTTTTTCCTGGTCCCTTGTTTAAGTTTTCTAGATTCCTGCTATGAGTGAGACCATCCGGTATTTTTCTTTTTCTTTCTGGTTTATTTCGCTGAGCATGATCCCTTCCAATATGCTGTGATTTTTTTAAAAGCGTTTTTACTCAACATTATGTTTTTGAGACTATCCAGGAGATGGTGATCTAGTTTCCACCCTCGAGCGCTGCCTGGTGCCGCCTAAGTGCTTTCGACCCCATTTTATTCGAGTGTTGTGGTGATGGACGCTACATTGCTTCCAATTTTTAACCAACACAGACCACACTGGCCTTGTCTCTCCGGGAAATGGGTGATTTTCTCTGGATTATCCACCCCCCAGGGTGGGCTGCTAGGTCGGAGTCTGAGATAATGGCCTAAGTTTTTTAACGTCTGCTAAAATGTTCTCTGGAATGGTTATGCCAGTTTTATGCCCCCCAAAGCGCAAAAGTTCCTGTTTTTCCCCTCATCACCCCAACTGCAGTATTGTTTGGTTTCCTAATGTTAATCTGATGGGTGTGAGGTGGTATCCTATTGTGCGAATTTTCATGTATTGAGCTTTTGGGTTTCCTTTTTTCTGAATTGTCTGTTTATATCCTTCTATGTATGTGGATTTTCTTATATGCTCTACATTGTAATTCTTTATTGGTTTTATACTTTACAACTAACCTTCCCAAGTTTTTTTTATATTAACTATGGCACCATGTTGAACAAAAATATTTCATTCTAATTAAGCTGACTCCATCAGTTTTCCTCTTTAGTTGTTTAGTGTCTTACTGGCACAATAAATTCCTTCCCACTTTAACATAACTAAGATCTTCATTAAAATACTTTTCTACATTTCCTTCAAGTAGCTAAATGGTGTTTCTTTTCACATGTGCATTTGTAACCCATTTGGAGTTTCACAATTTTATTTCTGTAAATAGTTTGAAGTAATGACCTAAGTTTCTCTCCACCATTTAAAATTAATAGCTAATTAATAGTTAAAAATTAGAGAAGCTGTGTAGTTAGTTAAGAGCGTAGATTCTTGGAATCAGGCTGCGACTGTTCAATCCCTGAGGCCTCCAGGGGGTGACCCGGCAAGTAACTTAACCTCTTCCCTCAATCCCTCATTCATAAAATAGGATATAGTCTTCATCTCTTAGGATGAATTAATACGTATAAAACATGTGTACAATAGTACCAGGACATAGTACAGCTTATAAGTGTTGACAACTATTAGTATTGGTATTAATATGCCCTTTCTTATACTGTAACCTCGGTTATGTGCCCAGGTGAACAGACCTGTTTTTTGTTTCTCTAGTCCTTTGGTCTTTTTGTTCCTATATTAATACCACACTCTCTTATTCCTCCAGCCCTGTCATATGTGTCTTAATAACCCAGTGGTTTATGTTCTCATCCTTCTACTTTCCTATTTTCACAACTGCTTATGCTATTTAAGAGCCTTTATATTTCCATATAAAGTTCCTCAGCAAAGTCCAGCTTTTGCTTGGTATTACACTCAATTTATAGACTACTTTTGTTAGAAGTGGTATTTGTAAAATGATATAATGTTACGTCATATTGGGTCTATCTCGTTAAGTCTTCTTGTATCCTATAGTAGAGCTTTTTGTTGTTCCTCCAAAATGTTTCATAGGTTCTTTTTGTGTGTGCGGGGGACCCTTGTCGGTGGCCGGGGAACAAACCCGTGCTGCAGAGGCTGCAGTCTGCCTCGCAGCCCAGCGCTCAACTGCTGCACCACCAGGGGAGGCCCTTCATAGGTTCTTTTTTAAAATTAATTCCTGGCTATTTTTTGTTTTACTTTCGTAAATTATGTCTTATAGTCTTGTTGGTTATTATCGGTATAGAACTATTGACTGTCTCTAGCAATACTGCTGAACTTTTATTTTCATCATTTTGCCTGTTGATTTGCTGCGTTTCCAATGTCAGTGATCACATCATCTGCAAATAACGACAATTTAATCTCTTCTCTTTCAATTCTTTTACCTCATTTCTTTCTCATGCTTTATTGCTTTAGCCAGGACCCTAAAATCTTTTATGAAGTGAACTTTCCTGTCTTGTTTGTGACCATAAAAAGCATGTGGCTAAAGTTTCTTCATTAACTATGTTTTTTTGCTCTAGACCTTTGATAAATAACCTTTTATATAGTATGTGTCAACTCCAAGAAAAGGCCTTTCTAGCCCTGTCTACCCAGGTGCCCAGGTAGACTGTCCCCAGTCTACCATCCTAGGCATTCATCAACCATTCTTTCTGCCTGGCCTGGACCACCAAGTTAGAGCTTGCTAACTGCTCTCTTGAGACTCACTGCCTTCTTAGGCCTCTCCTGCTTTCTCTTCTTTAGGCCCAGGTTAGATCTGCAATTTCTCCAGCGGTTCCTGCAGATACAGAAGGTTTTATTTCCGGCTTGGCCGTCACAGAATGCCTTGATGTTCCTGACCCTTTTGTGTGTGGCCCTCCTGGGTGAGTGAATGAGCCTAGGCTAGACGGGGAGGGCAGCCTTGGTTTGGGGTTCCCTTCCTTCTCTCTAGGGTGTTAATGAGGCAAGGACTCAGGAGGAAGCCGCCCTCCTTCTTTTCTCCTCATCACTGATTTCTGGCTCCTCTCCCTCCCCAGAACAACTGGTAATCTACCAGGTTGGTTTAATCCCCAGTCAGTACTACGGGGTCCTGGGAAACAAAGACTTGGATGGGTTTAAGACCCTGACCTTCCTGGCTGTGGTGCTCATCGTTCTCAACTCCATGGTAAAGTCTTCTCCTTAAGTCTCTCTTCCTCACCAGCCAAGTATGAGGGGAACACACACTGGGACTTAGCCACCAGGAAACAGGAACCAAACTGGGTGTATGCTTCCTCCCTTTTCTGGGAACCGAGGTCACAACCCTAGCAGGGCAGGAGCTTGCTACTGGCCCACTGGGATCAATTCCTCAGGTGTTCGATGCTCCTAGGGCTCGGCCATAAGGTTTTGGTTTAATTCAGCATTTAGTGGAAACAATCATTATTCCTTTCATTCCCAGAACTCTTGCATCAGGTGTCAGAGTACTTTACAGCTAGAACTGCTGCTCCTCTCGGGGGCAGAGGCTGGGACTCAGCCTGGTACTGTGTCACACCTGGCTTCCTTGCACCTGCTGCTTTCTCTCGCAAAATGGCCTCACTTTTCCAGATTCCTCTCACCGCCCTCAGTTCCTCCTCAACTTTCTCCTTCATTTTCCCTTCACCTAACTCTGCCCTTTCTCTCGCTCACTAACACACACTGTTGTCACACTCCCCACACCCTTGTAATTATCTGTTTTCCTTGCTAGACTATGGGCTCATTATTCCCCTGCTGTTTAGCACGTTAATGCTCCATGAATGGTGAATGATGAGGGTCAGCCCTCTGCTAGGACTCAAGCCTAGTGCTCTCCTCCTTTAGTCTGTGCTACCTGTACGTGGGGAAGCTACTTCTCGTCATATCTTGACACTTCTAAGGTGACTTTGGTCAGTAAATACCTATGTATACAGAGCCCTGTTCCAAGTTTTGGGGACAGAAACAAGAACATAAATGGAATAGCAGATGTGGTCCCCGATCTACCCGAGCTCATCTGCCCTCAGAATAAAACAGCACAAGGTAGAAAGGGGTTAGAGCGCCTGGCTTCCGCTTAACCTTCTCTGTTCGGTGAACAAACACGTGAGTGAATGAGGAAGGGAAACATCCCCTCCGCCCAGGTGCCCAGTGGTTGGATGGGCTGGGGCTGGTCAGCAGAGGCTGTCGGCCGGCTCTGCGTGGGAGCCGAGGCTGGCAGGAAGCCATCCCTCCTCTCCCCTCCCCTTCTCGCCTCCCCACTGCACAGCTGAAGAGCTTTGACCAGTTCACCTGCAACCTGCTGTACGTGAGCTGGAGGAAGGACCTCACGGAGCACCTCCACCATCTCTACTTCCGGGGCCGCGTTTACTACACCCTCAACGTGCTGCAGGATGACATCGACAACCCGTAGGCACCCCTTCAGTCCTTGCTATCTTCTGCAGGGCACTGTCCATCAGGCTCAGCCCTGGAGATGCTGAGGCAGACCCCCCGGAGCTTCTCCCCACAGTTCCTGTCCATCAGGCTCAGCCCTGGAGATGCTGAGGCAGACCCCCTGGAGCTTCTCCCCACAGTTCTCTGCCAGAGACTGCCCAGGACTGGGGGAGAGCACCCTCCAGGGGACCTCTGGGTGGGCTGTAGGGCTAACAGGGAGCTAAAAAATAGCAGCAGCTTCCTTTTCTCCATTTCATACCCTGGGCTTCCAAGTCAGGCACCCTCTGAAGAACGTGTCCTTGCTCAGAAGGAAGTGCAGTTGTCAGATTCACTCACCACCCTCCCAAGCACCTTGTTGCGAGGAGTGACTTTTCCTTACCTAATGCTGAGTTTTATAGCAAAGATTGTTGGGTGGCTGCTGCTGCCACTTAATTTGTAAGCCTCTTCTGCACGGCTCAATCCCTGTGAAACTTCCCTGCCATATACTCAGGTGGAGGCAGGCTGAGGCTCAGGAGAGAAATTGGGAACAGCTAGGGGGCTGCTTTCCTGATGATCCAGAAAAATTGGCTCATCTTCCCTCGAGTTTTTGTGACTACTGAATACTGGCTAAGAACCCCCGGTGCTGAGCCTTTCAGTTGCCGCTTTTTCTGAGGGGTAAACTGAGGCATCATAAGGCCAAAAACCTCCACAGCCCTGTTTAAAAGTCCTCAGGGTCTGGCTGCCTCTAGAAACTCAGCCCTTTTCTGTGTCTTCCTACTGCGTCACCGCTGGCAGAACTGAAAGGTCAGGGCAAGAGGTAATGTGAAACTGTCAGCTCTCTCAACCCCTGAGCCCAGCTCCGGGTTCAATCACTGCGTCACCGGCTGCAGGGACCAGCGCATCAGCCAGGACGTGGAGCGGTTCTGCCGACAGCTCAGCAGCGTGGCCAGCAAGTTGATCATCTCCCCCTTCACCCTGGTCTACTACACCTATCAGTGCTTCCGAAGGTGAAGCCTCTCCTCTTCCTGGGGCCTCCTCCTCCCCCGCCCAGGTGCTCCCCCCAGAGGGCCCTCACTCACTGAGTTAGGGGGCAGTCAGTGCTCCCAGGTCTGGGTCTTCCTCGGGCCCTTCACCTCCCTATAGGGTCACAGGGATCTGGTGCTCTGACAACTTAGACCAGATGCCCGAAGCCCCCTGCCGCCCCAGGAGCAGAGGACCCCCCAGGCTGAGATTGGACAGGGGCTGTGGAAGTCGAAGAGGCCAGGAGTCTGGCCGCAGCCTGCAGGGCCATGTGATGCCCCACACCCTCCCTCTGCTTTTCAGCACAGGCTGGCTTGGCCCTGTGAGCATCTTCGGGTATTTCATCCTGGGAACCATAGTGAACAAAATGTTGATGGGGCCCATTGTTGCGAAGCTGGTGCAGCAGGAGAAGCTGGAAGGGGATTTCAGGTGTGTCTCTTCCTGGAGGTTTCTGGGATGGGCATAGTGATTAAGAAATAGGACCTAAAGGAAGACCAAGTTCACACTCCAGCTACTCAGTTTCTTGCTGTGTGCTCTTGGGCACAGTCTTTAGCCTTTCTAAATTTAGGTTTTCCCATCTGAAATGGTTGTGTTGCCCAGAGAATTTTGAGGATTAATGAGATTATATGTGAGAAGCATTGAGAAGTACCTGGCTGGTCCTCATCCCTGGGTGTTGTGACATGCTTCTGGCCCAGCCGCTATTTCTGGGCAGCCAGTGGGTCTCTCCCCTGCTCTATGCATCTTGGCTTCCTCCTAAGGGCACAGCCCTGGGGGAGGGGTTCTGTGGCCAGGAAAACACCTGTCCTTCCTGGAGAGAATCATCTGCAAGGCTCCTACCACTCCCCAAGCCCTAGGGTTTCCCACCCCTGTGACAGTTCAGGGAAGGGTCAAGCCAAGGCAGCCACAGTTTCACAATGGGACCAGGCTCCTCCTTGGAGATCTCCACATTCCAGGGCTCTCAAAGGAGAGGGCCAGTACTGCCTGATGTCAGCATGCACTTCCCTTTGGTCTGCCCAGGTTCAAGCACATGCAGATCCGGGTGAATGCCGAGCCTGCCGCTTTCTACAGGTGAATCCAACGGGGATAGTTCCCCACCTGCCTTGTCAGAGCTGGTAGTGATGGAAAGATGAACAATACAACCCTCCCCCCACCCCAACCAAACCCAGGGCCTGAGCCTGAGCAACCTCAGGCTTGGCAGTGGGCCCTCTCTTTACCTCTCACTGACCTGTCTCCCTCTTCCTTCGGCTCAGGATTTGCTTCTGAAGTTGGTGGTTTCTTTTAGTGACCTTTATGGGACTTAAATTTGTTGTAAGAATGAAATGAATGAGTGCTTCATTACCTGGCTGGACTCTCTTGCTTTGCCTCTGCCTATAAAATGGCTTTCTGCCAATGCCTGACATCCTAGGCCATTTGTTATCTCTGTGGGAAATCAGGGGAACTGCTTGCTCCCCAGAAGCCACATGTCTGGTCTCCTGACAGCAGTGTTGTGAAATCGTATACCTTCCCCAGGGCATAGGTCCCCGTGCTCTGCCTTGTGCAAGGCCTCTAGAGTCCGTGATTGGACTAAGAGCACGGCCCTCAGAAGTGTAAGGAGTGGAAGCTACTCCTTGGGCCCTCTGTACTTGGGTGGGTCTCAGCCCTGGGGCCTTTGCCCTGATCAGTTTCTGCTGCCGTTTGCAGCTGCTACCACTTGGGGGCACCAAGAATCTTGGAGGTTGGGTTTCCTGTTTTTGGATTGAGTGGCCTCTGCTCGGGAAGCTGCAGGGAAAACAGGCTAGTTTATGACGCTCCAAATGGGTTCTGCTGGAACCCCTCAGGGTAGCACTGAAGACACACCGCTTACCTAATGCTTTCCATGTTCCAGGTGAAGAATGCAGTGTCAGAGATACCCGCCCCTCCCCCCTAAATGGAGCACGCCTCAAGGGCAAGGACTATTTTCTCCACCTCTCTAGCTAACTATTACAGAGCCTGCCACAAAGTGACCGCCCACGAATACTGTCTAAAGCTGAGGACCCCCATGGGCCAGCACTTTGTATCCAGAAATTCTTACTCTGGCTCAGTGCGTAGGTGTTACTAGCTCCATTTTACAGATGCGGGAACAGACTCATAATCTGTTAGTGTCTCCCAGCGAGTCAATAACTAATCAGAGCCAGGATTTGAACCGGGTTTGTCCAATTAGAGTTCTTGTTCTGCCCATGTTCATTTACTACCATGTTGAATGAGTAAAGCTGTGAATGGGTGCGAGGCAGAGAGGCCTCAGGTAAAGGTCCCTGAGATGGATTGGTCCCTGAATGAGGGTGTGAGGAGGGACACACTCCTGGCCGAGGCGCTCCGGGCCCCATGGACATGCCAGCCTTTCTCGTCAGAGCTGGGCACGTGGAGCACATGAGGACAGACCGCAGGCTGCAGAGACTCCTCCAGACCCAGAGGGAGCTGATGGTTAAGGAGCTCTGGTTGTACAGTAGGTGGAGGGAGCCCCAGGATCAAGACAGTCCCCTTCCCTTCCTACACCCCCTGACTTCCTCTGCACTGATAAATTTGCTCTGATGAAGGAAATTGCTGGGGAATCACTGCCTTTGCCATGAGTGTCCTCAGGAGCCTGGGGGGGTCCAGGGAATAGCTTAGCCCGACGGGGGCTTCCTCCTCCTTCAGGGCACATGAGTGGTCCCCAGGCCTCTGACACTGCCTCTTCCGCAGTTGGGGTCAACACATTTGACTATCTGGGCAGCATCCTGAGCTACGTTGTGATCGCCATCCCCATTTTCAGTGGTGTCCTGGGAGATCTGAGCCCCACAGAGCTCAGCACCCTGGTGAGCAAGGTGAGAATCCTCCCTGGCGGCCCCCACTTGCCACCCCCATCCCTCACTGCAGCACCCAGGGCCCGGGAGTGGAGACCTGTGCTCACTGCTCTCATCCTGTCCAGAATGCCTTTGTGTGCATTTACCTCATCAGCTGCTTCACCCAGCTCATCGACCTCTCCACCACACTCTCGGATGTGGCCGGTTACACACACAGGTGAGGCTGCATCCAGTCCTCCGCTAGTCCCCAAGCACAGCGTGCGCCACTGGGAGAAATGGCTGAAGGAAACAGGAACAGAAATCTCACCATAAACTAGTGGGCTGAGACAGAAAAAGGAGTTTCGCCTTCACCTGGCCCCTCAGACCCTCCTCAGGTTTCCACTTTTTGCCCAGGATTGGGGAGCTTCGGGAGACCCTGCTGGACATGTCCCTGAAGTCCCAGGATGATGAGCTCCTGGACGAGAGCGAGTGGGACCTGGGCAGGTGAGCGCTGGGCTGGCAGTGGTTGGGAACGCAGGCTGCAGGCTCTGGAACCGCCCATCTTGGTTCAGCCTGGAGCCCTGCCCTCCCGCAGGTGGGCAGCAGAGTAGTGCTCAGCAGGTGAATGTTCCCAGTCGTTGCTGTCTGATAGCTGCCGTGCCAGTTACACCATCCCTGGGCTGATGCAGCGAAGTCACACACCCGCTGGGCCTGAGATGAAACAAGCATCTGAATAGTGTCCCTCTTCCTTTTCCCCGCTTCCTTTTGAGTCCTGCCACCTACCCCGCTCTCTGGGCATGTCTGCTTGTTCTCCAGGCCCCGCCTAGACCAGCCAGGTCTCTCTGCATCTCTGCAGGCTCTGTGGTTTCTGACCTCTCTGTGCATTGAGGGTTTTATGTCCACCTTGAGTGTGCACATGACTTAATCTGTGCCTCAGTTTCTTCACCTCTAAAGAGGGGATATTAACCTTCCTTTTTGGGTTGTCATGAAGATAGAGCCATTGTAGTTCATGAGAAGTGCTAGGACAGTGGCCCCAGAGTCAGCTTTCAAAAATGGAAGCAGTCTGAATGTCAGAATTCCAAAGCCTACAATCAACTCTCAGGAACTAACGCTTAACTGTTGCCCCTGTTCAAAATTAAAACTTCATGTAACTGAGTCCAGAGGCTGGTGTCATGGTGCGAGGAGTGTAGGAAACCCAGATGGCTAATCTGTGGGATGATGGGAAGACAGGTATCCAGGAAGCTCCAGAAACTCCAGACCATTCAGTGTCACCCCAGCAGTTCTTACATCTGTTCTCCAGCCACACCAGGCACCACGAAACCCCACCAGCATTAAAATTGGCAAGCTTAAGATCAGTCACTTGCCACGCTTTGCACAACCGGGCACAGAGTAGGTGGCCCAGGCTTCCTGACTGCATTAGTTTGCTAGGTTTGTGTTAACACAGGCTGGGTGGCTTAAGCAATAGAGATTAATTTTCTCACCATTTTGGAGACTAGATGTTCAAGATCAAAGGTGTCAGCAAGATTGGTTTCTCCTGAGACCTCTCTCTTTGACTGGCAGACAGCTCTTCTCACTGTGTTCTCAGGTGGCCTTTTCTGTATGCATGTGCACCTCTGAATCACCCCCTCTTAAAGGGACACCAGTCATACTGGCTCAGGGACCTACCGTAATGACCTCATTTCCATGTCATCATTTCTAAAAGCCCTCCCTCCAAATGTATTTTGACGGACTAGGGGTAGGAACTATATTTTACCATTTTTTTTTTTTTTTTTTTTATAGAGGCATGTTTATTTATTTATTTGTTTGTTTGTTTGTTTTGTTCATACATGCACTGGGTATAGTCAGAAGCGCGGGAGGGTGAGAGAATTCACCAGAGCCAGAGTGGGGAGCAGAGCAGGCAGAAGGACCGAAGTACACTGCTGAGGGGAGCAGCGGGCGGCAGGAGAGGTCTGCGTGCCATGTGGGACCCTCCTCTGGTGGCCGGGAGCAGCCGGGGATTGAACCGGCGTCGCAGAGGCTGCGGGCAGCTTCGCAACCCAGCGCTCAACCGCTGCGCCACCGGGGAGGCCCTATTTTACCATTTTTAAAAAAGATATTTTTATTTATTTATGCAAGAACTGGGGTGTAGGCCAGAGGTGTGAGGGTTGAGAGGATTCACCAGAGAGTTGGGAAAGGATCAGGCAGATTGACTGAAAACACTGCTGAGGGGAGCAGCGGGCAAGACAGGAGAGGTCTGCTGTGCCATGTGAGTCAACTCCCTGGCCAGGGATCAAACTCGTGCTGCAGAGGCTGCCCATGGCTTCATGGTGCTGAGACTTAACCCCTTTGCCACCAGTGAGGCCTTGCATCATATGATTTTGAGGACACAACCCCTAGCAAGTCCCCATCCAGAGGTGATACCCCCCAGGAGAACCTCCCTGCAATGCTGGCACCATTCTACCTTCCTACCCTCTACCCTCGGATCCCAGGGCCCCAGGATGGCCAGCAGCAGGGCCTGCAGACACAGCTTTTCTCCTTGAGCGAGTCTCCATCTCTGCCCCCGCCTCCGACAAACCCCTAATCAAGGACCTGAGCCTGAAGATATCTGAGGGGCAAAGCCTGCTCATCACGGGCAACACAGGCACTGGCAAGACCTCCTTGCTCCGGGTTCTGGGTGGCCTCTGGGCAAGCACAAGGGGTAAGAATCAGTTCTCCCCACCTCTGACCAGCCTTGGCATGGGAGGGTGTGAGTGTCCATCCAGCCTTTGCTCTTGGGTAAAGGGTGGGAGGCGGTTACCTCCTTGGGGGTGGGGAGCTCATTTTGAGGTCTCCCCATGGCTGTACAGGCTCAGTGCAGATGCTGACGGACTTCGGACCCCATGGGGTGCTGTTCCTGCCACAGAAGCCGTTCTTCACTGACGGGACCCTTCGTGAGCAGGTTGGCCTGGCTTAGGACCCTCTGCCCAAACCAGGACCTCTGGAGTATGACGAGTCCTGGCCCAGTAGAGTTATGGGGCAGGAGGTGAGGTAATAACACAGCCCATGCCTGGGAGCTCCCCCGGCCTACGGATCAGGACATGGACTCAGAGCAACTCCTGGGGCAGGTTCACCTGTGGGGGCGCTGGCCAGAGATGACAAGTGTTCGCTGGGTACCACGATTGCATTCTGGAGCCCTGCCCTCAGGGGTTCACAGACGCAGGTTCCATGGGTGGTTCTGAGGGAGGGTGGTCTGTGCAGTCACCCCTGTCAGCCCTTGTCCTAGGCCCACATGGGTTCTGTTCCATCAGGTGATCTATCCCCTGAAGGAGATCTACCCGGACGCAGGTAAGTGGCCTCTTCGGGCACGTCCTTCAGTTGTCCCTGCTCTGCCTGAGCCTGGCCTCACCTGTGCCCTTTGGGGGAAGCCCCAGTCAGGCTGCTGGCTTAGGCTGCCTCCCTCCTCCACCTCCAGCACTTTGCTCTTTTAGAGTGTGTCCCCTCAGCTCGTCTTGTTCTCTCCCCTTAAGGAGAACTCACTGGAGGAAGGGAAGTAATGGCTCTGTCACCCGCTGTTAAGAGCTGTGACCCGTCTCTCCCGAGCCTTAGCCGAGATCCGGCCTCTGCCAGAATGCACCCTGTCCCCTCTGGCTGCCCAGCAGTTGATTCCTGACGAACGCTTCTCTGTTTTGCAGGTTCTACTGATGATGAGAGGATTGTGAGGTTCTTGGAGTTGGCAGGCCTGGTAAGTAGGGGAGGGAAGCTGAGGTCTGAGCCCCTCTGAGGTGGCCACTGTCTCTGGGCCCAGGTCCAGAAGCATGAACCTGGGGCAGGGGAGTGGGCATATAAAGTGGCAGTGGGAACTGTTAGCCAGCTATAGAACAAGCGGGCACACCCTCTGTAACGAATTTTTAAAAATAATAAAACTAAGTCTGCTTTTTCTTGCCACTGCGCTCCAGCAGATCTAAGCAATGCAGTTGACAGTATGGTCATCTCTACCTAGGGCAGTAGGCACCCTCAGCCCCCCACCTTGGTAGCCACTAGTCTCAGAGGGGTATGTGTGAGGCAGTTCCCTGGGATGGCAGGAGGCAGGGATGGCATGGACGTGTTCCCTCCATGTGTCTTACAGTCCAGCTTGGTGGCACGAGCAGAAGGACTGGACCAGCAGGTCGATTGGAACTGGTAAGAAAAGGCCTGGGGTACTCCAGACCAGCTTCCCCTAAGACAGTAGTGCCTCCAGGAGCCAGGTCAAGGGGTGGTAAATGACTCCTGACCCCAAAGTCCAGGTGTTTTCTGGATATTTGGGGCTTGTTCTATGCCCGTGGGAGCAGAGTGTTGGCCTCAGCTGTGTGGGCAGCCGGGCTGCGGTTGAAAGGGGAGTGATGTCCATCTGCCTTGGGGTCCGCTTGGCCATCCTCTCTAGAAAGAACCTCTCCCTGATGAGACCCACTCTAGGCATCAGCCAAAATGTAGTCTTCTTCCAGCACTTCTTCTCCTTCCCCTGCCTCAGGTATGATGTTCTGTCCCCAGGGGAGATGCAGAGGCTCTCCTTTGCCCGGCTTTTCTATCTGCAGCCAAAGTACGCAGGTGAGGTCCGCCCTGCAGGTGCGTGTCAGGTACTGTGTGCTCACAGGTGTAGCAGGATCTGGCCATGTACATGGAGGCATTAGCACAGCAGGAGAGCACACCTGTGTGTGTCTGGGCTTCTTTGCCCCTGCAGGCCCCGGCAGGGCTCTGCCATGAGGCCACAGTGCTTGGCATCCTGATATTCTACTGGGTCAGAGGCTTCCTGCCATCAAAGCAGCTGGATCCACCCCCAGAGGACTGGGATTTTAGGCTCCTCAGGCTCTGCCACCTTGAATGACCATGATCCCAGCTGCAACTGGCAGAGGGGTGCCAGGTGTGGAATATTCCAAGGACTTACATTCATGGGAAAGTAAGATGCACAGTGACTGGTGCCTGTGTTCAGGAAACTGAGGGGTTTGTCCTGCCACTGGCAGGGGCTGCCCCGGAGCTTGGCCCTTTGCTCCTGTGGCCATCCTCTCCACAAGCCTGGGCTCCTAAGCAGAGCAGCTTTTGGCCTTCCCTGGGTCCCTGCCAGGGGTGAGTGTGGCTGGAGGCGAGGCAGACAGGCCAGGGGCCAGAATCCTTCTCCTGTGGATTCCACCCTCAGTACTTGATGAAGCCACCAGTGCCCTGACGGAGGAGGTGGAGAGCGAGCTCTACCGCATCGGCCAGCAGCTGGGCATGACGTTCATCAGTGTGGGACATCGGCGCAGCCTAGAGAAGGTATCGTGCTTGTAAGGGTGGCCTGAGGAGGAGGAAGAACCCAAAGGTTGGGCCTGACCATGGCCAGAAGCCCCTCAGAATGGGGCGTGGAGGTGGCACAGGGCTAGAGGGATAAAGGCCTCTGGTTGACAGCCTGATCCGTGTGTGATGCCCTCTCTTGTAGTTTCACTCGTTGGTTCTGAAACTCTATGAGGAAGGAAGATGGGAACTGAGCAGAATCAAAGTGGAATGAAGCTAAGGATGCAGCTGGTCCCTGGAAGGAGAGCCGGGCCCAGGGCAGGTTGGCAGTCCCCAGGAAACACTGGTTCACCTCAAGGATCTGGTGTGGACCCAGCCCAGGTGTGGGCCTCGCTGGGACACTCAGTCCTGCCAGGACTCCTGCAGCCACAGCCAGAGTGCTGTACACCTGCATTGCTGATTACGTACAAATGACCTCAGATCATGTTTTACACCTGCATTGCTAATTACTTACAAATGACCTCAGATCATGTTTTCTAAAGAAAAACCCACAAGTGTGAAGTCTCTAGGAAATGAAGGTTGCAAGTGGACCTAGTAGTGGATTTGGAGTCAAGAGATCCACAAATCTTTTAAATCAGCCACATTTTGCAGCAAACGATTTTTAAATTTAATTAACTATATAAATATATAGCTTTTTTTAAAAAGAAAAACATTAAAAAAATTCTTTTATAGCTTTCCTCTTTTTCTTCTCTCTTACAGAGTGAGTTTGGGGTTTTTCACTGTACCCCACAGTTCCCCCCTCTGCATTTGCCAATTGTACCTGAGCCATTAGTCTCCATAGCCCCACTCTGTTTTGCTAGTTTGCTTTTTTTTTTTTAAAGATTTATTTATTTATGCATACAAGAGCTGGGGTACAGACCAGAAGTGCAGGCGGTGAGAGGATCCACCATAGACAGAGTGGGGAACAGAACAGGTAGATTGACTGAAACACACTGCTGAGGGGAGCAGTGGGGGAGACAGGAGAGGTCTATTGTGCCATGTGGGTGACTCCCTGGCCGGGGAGCTGCAGTAACTCGTGATGCAGTAGTTGCTGATCACTTCATAGTGCTGAAGTTTAACCTCCTGTGCCACCAGGGAGGCCCGGTTTTGCTAGTGTTTTTTTTTTTTGTTTTGTTTTCTTTTTTAAGATTTCTTTATTTATACAAGCACTGGGTACAGTCAGAAGTGCGGGAGGGTGAAAGAATTCACCAGAGCCAGAGCGGGGAGCAGAACAGGCAGACTGACAAAATACACTGCTGAGGGGAGCAGCGGGTGTGGCAGGAGAGGTTTGTCACGCCATGTGGGACCCTCTCTGGGGGCTGGGGATGGAACCAGCGCTGCAGAGGCTGCGGGCAGCCCAGCCACCAGGGGAGGCCTGGTTTTGCTAGTTTCAACCCGGGGAAAATCACCCCTTTCCCCTTAGCCAAAAAAAGTTTGAAATTTTTCAAAAATAATCATTATTAAGGAACAAGAACAATGATTTGGGCAAAACCCAGAAAGCACAAAGGCATGAGATGAAGTTATCGGGCCTAAAACCCTTGCTCTAGAACAGTGTTCCCCTAAGTACAGTTGTCAGCATATCACCTTCATGTTTTTTTTTAAAGATTTATTTATGCATACAAGACCTGGGCCACAGGCCAGAGGTGTGGGGGTCGAGAGGACTCACCAGAGACAGAGTGGGGAGCAGAACAGGCAAACTGATGAAATCCAATGCTGAGGGGAGCAGTGGGCGGGCCAAGAAAGGTCTGCTGCACCATGTAATTCACCTTACTGGCCGGGGATCGAACTCGTGCTGCAGTGGCTGCCAATAGCTTCATAGTGCTGCATCTTAACCCCTTGCGCCACCAGGGAGACCCCCACCTTTGCTAGACCTCTACTTCCTGTACTGTTCATTACTTAATATTTTTTAGTAACTCACTTTTTATTTTGACTTTTATTGAGATAACATTGGTTTCAACACTATGATTCATAGGTATAGGATCACACCTCTTCAGATGTGTGTTACTATACAATTAACTCCTTTTTAAATTTAAATGCATATTAAAAAATTTGTACCTGATATAGTAATTGGAACGTGAAAACCAGTATTATGAGGTATTATGAATTGCAGCTCCGCAGTGCTGCTGCAAAGACGGAGCCTGAGGCTTGCTCTCTTTGTTCAACGGGTGCTTGAGGTTATAGAAGAATTAGACGTACAACTGAGAATTTTCTAATAAAGTTAGAAAGATGGAATGGGAATTGTAAGGGGGAAAGCTTTCTCACTGTAAGAATTGAGGTTGGGCCTTCCCCGGTGGCGCAGCAGGTTGAGCGCAGCACTGTGAAGCTGTCCGCAGCCTCTGCAGTGTGGGTTTGATTCCTGGCCGGCCAGCGAGATTCCCACATGGCGTGGCAGACCTCTCCTGTCTCACCCGCTGCTCCCCTCAGCAGTGTATTTTGGTCATCTGCCTGTTCTCCCCACTCTGTCTCTGGTGAATCCTCTCACCCTCCTGTGCCTCTGGCCTGTACCCCAGCTCTTGTATAAAAATAAATCTTTTAAAAAAAAAAAAGAATTGAGGTTATTTGTCGGTTGGCACCCCTGAGGAGGGTATCAGATATGGGGGTAGGGATCCTAGACTTGGTGCTGCCCTGGATAACAAGTCTCGCCCACCCCCACTCTGCCCAACTTGTCATGGCTTTGGGACCTGTTCTTTCTCAGCTGCCCCCTGGTGGGGGAGTAAAAACTGCGTGTCCAGATGCCAGTCTCTCTTGGTGCCGAACTAGATCCAGTCCCAGGCAACACCTCAGTAGGACTAGGATGTCAGCCCGGGAAACCCAGGGGAGCCCTTCAGCCACCCTGCTGACCCCTCTCACAGGTCCCTGAAAGGGATCTTCAGGGTTGGCATCTGCTTCAGGAAGCTTCCCATACTTGAATCTTCCCCCACTCCCTGCCCAGTGGTGTTCTAGTCTCCTTGCAAACACCTCCAGCTCTGGGGACCACCCATCCTCAACAAAGTGCAGAAAATGCTTCCTAAGTTAAGGGGAAAGCTGTCTCCCTAAGGTTCCCCCTAATTCCCACCCTTGGGCCTATGTCAGTCAAATTGTGGGATCTGGGTATGGAAAGATGCCCTCCCTAGTTTTTATTTCTGGGCTTTTACCAGTGCAGTGGAAGTCTCCTCCCTCCCCACTCAGCCTATTTGGTGACAGCGTTGCTTCTTTGACTTCATCCTTACTAGCCCCTTCAACTCTTAAGCCTTTCCACAGCCTCTAACAAATTTTAGAGATCAAGTTCATTCCTGATTCCTTTGCATGTGATATTTCCTCTGCTTTAAACCTATTCCAAGGGCAAGTATCTGTTTTAAGTGTTTTAAATTCAGCCAGGCAAATAATTTCCCAGTTTAAATCTCATTCTGCCATCCAGGGATCTACATAGACCAAAGTAAATGATGCATAGAAATGTCATCCGTATAGTCCTGGCATTACTCTTCTAGAGAGTTCTGGGTCTGTGGGACAGGGGAAGAGAAAGCAATCTTTCGTCAGCTCCATCAAGTGTCTGCTTACCATATCAACTTGTGCATCCTAACGGCATTTCAACCCAACGTGTCCAGAAGTGAACTTTTTAAAATTTTATATATTTTTTACATCATTTTTCATTTTTGTACAGAAGTGATCTTCTGATCACTCCCCAAAACTTTTTCCAGTCTCTTCTGCAGGTATGCAGTACCATTGTCCATCCAGATGCATGAATCAGAAATCTAAGTCATCTCTAATGTACCGGCGCACAGCCCCTTATCCAACCCATAGTACTTATCCAACTCAGGTCCTATCGATTTTACCCTTGTCCCATCCATCCACCTATCTAGGAGAAGCTTAAGAGGTAAAGATAAGAAAACCGGAAGGAGAATCAGTTTCTGAAGAAAGAAGTGTCAGGAGGTAGCCTCTGCCCCATCATTTTGGGGAATGTTAAGAAATTTGTCCATTCTGTGGATTAATGCAACTGTTGACAATAAAGGATCGTCAATTATTTAGTCATCAAACCTCTACTGAATCCCTGCCCCCTGTGAAGGCAATGGAGTCCAGGAATACAGTGGGGAACGAGGAGGACATAGGTCCTCCCCTCATGGAGCTTATATGCTAGGTGATCTGAAGACCATAAAGTCACCAGAAAATTAGGGTTTTTTTTTTTAAAGATTTAATTTTTATTTATCTATACAAGCACTGGGGTACAGGCCAGAGGCACAGGAGGGTGAAAGAATTCACCAGAGACAGAGTGGGAAGCAGAACAGGCAGACGTACCGAAGTACACTCTGAGGAGAGCAGCGGGCGAGACAGGAAGGGTCTGCTGTGCCAAGTGGGTATCTCCCTGGCTGGCTGGGAATTGAACCCACACTACAGAGACTGCGGACAGCTTCACAGTGCTGCGCTCAACACGCTGCACCATTGGGGATGCCCAAGAATTACAGTTTAATGTCAGTTTATGTACAACATTTGCAAAGTTGTACATAATGTTACTGTACTATGGGGTAGAAGGTCTTCTCTATCTGCCTCTAGAAGTCAACCATTTCTAGTACTCTCCGAATGCCAATTCAAATACAAAACCATGGAAGAATATGATAGAATTTTGCCAGGGTTCATGAGATTGCAGGGAATTAAATGCCAACTGCAAAGCAAAACATCTCCAAAACTCCCATTATCTTATTCTCTTCCCTTCACCAAAATTTCATGCCTTAAGCAACTGCCTATGTCTTCTCTCTCCCTCTCCCACATCATCCTGCCAGCCTCTTTAAGCTACTTGGATATTCCTCCCTCCCTTCCCAAGGGATTTCGGTGTGGGAAGAAATAACTTGGATTTCAGACTATCTTGGAGGACCAAGGTGGGTGGAAGCGATCTCAGTTTTTGAATAAAAATCTACAGGGCAAGCCACAGACGTGGAAGTTCTCATCAACGACCGCTGTTCCTCCCACACATCCAGCACTTTCTGGACATTTTCTCATTTACTCCTTGTCACAGGCCTAGCAGGCAGGAAGGCTGCAGAGCTTGGGCCGTGACCGATGGCCCACCCTGCGTGAGGCAGGTCTTACCCTCCCTGTAAAATAAAATACCTCTGAACCTAGCCTGAATGTGCTGCTGAGTGTGGAAGGACAGGGACTGAGGCGGGAGCTGGTGGCCTGGCCACAGGACCAGGTGTTGAGAAAGCTGGAGAGGCTGTGAGTGGGAGAAGGAACATTAGAGACTTGGGTTAGCCAGGCCAGTCCTTCTGAGGGTGGTAGGGACAGACAGGTGGCAGACTTGTCTCTCTATGCACATTCTATTAAAGTTCTCACACTAAGCGCATGCTTTGTCTTTATGTGGCACATGGCAGAATCCCTTTAGAGCATGCAAGTTTGGGCACCCCTAAGGTACCCCTAGTCTGCCCGCTAACAAAGAAGGACTTAAAAATGAATGTTAGCAAAAACCTCCTCCCCCGAAAAAAAAAGTAGAAAGTGGGATTTTTTTTTTTTTTAATAAGTGTGAAACTTAGTAAAAGTAACTCAAGAAGAGTCATGCAAACCATCTCATCGCCTCCTTGGCTCTTCACCCCAACCCGTGAGGCATTGTTCTGACTGTGGTTTGGTAGAGGAACTGTAGTGGCAGGAAGGAGGACACAGAGCAGGTTCTCTATGAGCCAAGCAGA